ATTTAAACAACTTATATACAAAGTCACTGAATGCACTTATAGGGATAAAGTAGATGAACTGACCTAAAGACTAGGAATGGCTCACATCTTTCTCTTTTAAATCCTCTGAACTAGGTTTTCTGAATTGCCTGTACATTTAAGGCAAAATATTTTAAGTGCTTATTACACTACTGAAGGTTTAAATCTTTTCTTTTGTCATAGTGAAATGACAGATGAATGATTTCCTACTCTTACTGCAATCTCGCAGTAGTCATTTGGTTTTACTCTTCTAAGGTACTCACAGTTCTGCAGAACTGTTGCATAAACATAGCAGGAAAGTGCAGAGTCTGTTCTGCAGACTACTTACCTTCAGTAGCTCAAACGCTCTACTCATGAAGAGACATTACACAGCTAATATTCAAAAACTTTTCACAAAATACCAGATCTACTTCTGTCTGTTGTTGCTGGATAGTAAAAGGAGACAAGAGTAACTGCCAACAACTTATTTAAAAAAAAACCCACACCAAAATCAGTACCTTTCATCTCAAGCTTTGTTAACTAAAGTGAGCTCTTATGCTGACAGAGCAGCCATTGGACAAGCTGAGTGGCCTCCTGATGTTCCACGGCACAGTTTCATAAATAATTAAGGATGATCAGCAGTCATCTCCCCTTCTTACAAATTCCTGCCAGGAAAATTCTTAATGCTTCTTGCTGCTTTTGGCTTATGACATACAGGACATGAGGTCTATAGTGTATTCCCTGAACTGAGTATTTCTACTGAAACAAACACTACTGAGACATTTGTTTAATCTCCACACACTGTCTCCAGGACTTTTTTTAATTAGCGTGGAATTGTTGAGACAACCCCCTGCTACCCTGGCCTTCCAGAAGCTCCCTGAGGATGAAAATCAGAGATTCCTCCATTTTCCTCCTATAAACACAGGAGGACATTCCTTCAGGAAGCAGTAAAGACAAACGTCTTTTCATTTCCTACTCTCATGTGCTGGCATGCAGGAAGGCATTTCACTGCCCTTCAGACAGACTGGAATTAGAACTGGGGAAACAGGTAAGGAAAAGTAAATCTAGTTGTGATCAGTTTTGTGGAACTCCTGCAATATATACAATATAAAGCTCTGTCAGTATCCAATTGGTATAGATATATAAACCAATTATATAAACCATTTTGATTTTATGTTCTAATTCAGCAAATCAAACATTAGATGCTTCAGTACAAGGAAGTGAGGGACATGATTACCGGAGAAAACAGAATTGTGGCGACCAAGTCTTTGGCTGTGTTCCTTTCCCCATGTAGCCTTGCTGCACAAGTACTGTCATCTCTCCCCTGCTTCTATTTGGTACTTTACCTCTTTTCAGGTAAGTAAGCAACAGAAAGCTTCTCCACTTTAATCACTGAAGATATACCTATGTGAGAATCAAACCAATACTGCCTTAAGTTGAGCACAAAAATGCCTCATGATTATGAAACTTGCAATAAACCAAGATTTATTCTTGTAGAACAAGGAAAGGATAAGGTATGCAAGCTTTTTTGAGTCCTGCGTATCTCACAAAGATGTAGGTACATCTATTTTTCGTAATAAATTTATCAGACCTCAGACCTAGTCCAGAGAAGGCATATGAAATGGATTAAACCACGGCACCGTAAGTATCAAATCTTCCAAATGTCATGTCATAGAACACGTATTTTCACATGAGAACTTGGAAAGCATCACTGAAAAGTCCTCCACCTGCAATACTTAAACGTCCCAAAGTCCTGATTTTGGATGGACAAAAAACTGCTAAAGAAGCCTGTGAAGAAACAGACAGGTACATAAATCTTTAATTTCTAAATTACTTTGACAATAGGTGATTAAGATAACTTTACGTGACTTTATTTAACAAAACCATATATTTACAGTTGAAAAAAAGTTCCGGTTTGATACACATAGCTAAACAAAACAAACTTCATAACTACATAAAACCAATTTAAACATGAAGTACAGGGGATGTATCAACAGTTCTCTAGAAGTCGTTCTAGTTTTTAAAACATTCAAAAATAAGCTGTTGCAAGGTACCTTTTTTTTTCAAATGAAATTCTTTACTAACTGAAAGAAAGTTAATGATTTGAGTGCTCTCTGAAGTTGCAAAATGGCTCTGTTATAAAGTGCAGGTCGTACAGTATTCCAAACCTCACTGAAGTCTTCTGGTTTCTCTAATCTGCTGCATTTACTGTGGTAGCCGCAGACATTTTTTGTTTTTGTTTTTGCTTTTTTTTCCTCAAACCCGTGAAGAAAAGAAACTTTGCTTGATGGGGACACTTGCTCAGTGAAACAAAATCTCATGCATCTCGTTACAGACACTTTCAGGCATCTGAACAATGAAATTGTCAAAATTTTTAATGGAATCCCTGAATTTATTACAGAAATCTTCCTTAATAATTGAAGAGATTGGGTATGCTGCAAGAAACTTTAAAAGCTCAGTGGCAAGTAATTCTATGTCCTTACAACTTATCTGTTTTTATCAAAATTCAAGCGTTACCTTCAAATCAAGTTACTGAGAAGTTGAAACAATTGCATCTTTAGGCAGGTGATTTTTTTTCTTCAAATGCATTTTGTTTGAAGACGAACTGTGCAAAGCTCCTTATTGCATTGGTTTTCTTCATTAAAGAACACACCTTATATACACAAAGAAATCGTTTAGAAAATATATACATCTTCTAAGAACAGAAAGATCAAATTACAAAACAGAAGAGTAACATTTGCAAGTAACAAACAGTGCACAAGTGTTGCAGCAGGCCTTCTTCCCCACAGCTACGCCCGTTTCCACTGTTACATTCAACATCTCACGGAGAAGAGAAAAAGGAGAACAGAGGCTGTGGATGTCTGCAGAGAGAACTAGCAGCTAAGGAATGCATTTTGACCAGGCAAATGAGCCACACCTATAGACTTGGCTGAAAAGGGAATACAAATCTAGTTGTAATGAAAACTTAAATCACAAAGCCAGTTACAGTACCACCTAAAAATGTATACCGAGGGAAAAGTTGTCTCTGTGTTTAAGAAACCGTTTAAAAGCATAGTGCAAATGTTTCAGATGGTAGGCCTCTCATACCCTTTGTGGAAAGGCAAGTTTGTTGTAGTAATAGAAAAAGCAGTAATAAAAAACACTTACTGACCTTCCAGCTTTCCATTGCACTTCAAAGCGACGCAGCCTACAAGTACCGGTCACTGAAGGACCAGAGCTGTGCAAGTTCTGGGAGAATTAACACATTTCCTATCAATATCCTGATATCCATTTTCACTAAGTGATGACCTAGAACTAGTCTTATGAAGGAACTAAGATGTCCAACAAGCCCTCACAACCATGACGGCAAGTACAGAAAGCGGACAGGACAAGAGGCCGGTGAGGTATCAGGCTTGCAAGCTGCACCTGCATTACACGTCTCCCAGGGTGACCACGAGTCCTCACTCACCAGGGAATCTTGCTCTCGCTCTTCTTAATATTACAATCAAACTAGCCCTCACAGAAACAATGTTTGTACTAAAGGACAGTATTTTGATTACATCCCACAGTCCTTTACGTTGTATGTTGAGGTGAGCAGTGTGCCACTGTTAGTCTCATTTTTTAGATTCAGACAACTCCAAAATAATCAGCATAAACTGAAGAGAGCACTGGGAAACCGCTGACCATACAGCTAGAGGACTGAGTAACACGTGTCTACAGTGAATACAAATATTGCTCCAGTTAGTTTCCCTTTTCAATGATCATCATTATTTATAAAACAGGTTTTGCACTATACAATAAACATTCTTGTAAATCAGAGGCACTCGTGATTTACAGTTCAACATTCACCTGAATGCAGAGGGGATCTAAGCTGTGTAACAGAACTATGCAACTCCAGTTTGCTGCCTCTGTAACTCGCTCCCATGGGAGCAAGAGGCTGGACAAAACACTAGGAAACCACAGCTTGTACTTAATCCTGATGGTATTTGTCTGGCACATTCCTCAGTAAACTTCTTTCTTTTGTCACTACACACAGATGAGCTCCACCTAAGGCTTGCTCACTGTGGCAGCAGCCACTTCAGGAGATCCCACAGAACCTTTCTTTTCAACAGCAATGTTGGCTTATGTAACTTCTCCCCTACACCTCAGATTTGCCAGTGAGCAGAGATGAGTTTCAAGTAATTGCAAAAGCTGCTTTTAACCGTTTCTCAGTTTCTCTGCTTGGTCCACAGTTTTAACAGCACAACTGAAGAGACAGCACAGGACTAAGTAGCTGGTAGGCACAAACAGCCAGAAATGGCACTGCCCCAGAGGAGGGAGACGTGGAGGCACACATTTAGCAGTATGTGACCCTGGTTTTAAACAGAGGAAAGAAGAGTGCAACTGGGAAATGATGCCAGCTGAACACTAGGAACCCCTCAGTGGGTTTGGAATCAGGTCTTGTTAATGGAACTTCTTCCATATGCATCCAGACAGGAAACAGATTTCCAAGGCATCCTGGAGAATAACTGGGTTTGCACTGCTAGTGTGACTCCTCTTCCAACTTTACTTTTAACTTTTTCTTATTAAAGAATGGAATGTAGTTCTATGTCTACATGAATTCTTTGGTAAATGGGACCCACAGCCTAGACAACAAGAAGCATTTCTAAAGAAATGGCCCTTAGATCATTTAACTATAAATTCCAGCACCAGTTATTTAACATCCAGATTCAGCTATTGTTATAGGTATGGGAAATGCATCCTGCCCAAGAATGAAACTAGGGAACAGCATTCAAAGCAACCGACATTGATGAATGCCCAGTCTTTTCAGACAAAGTGGGGGGGAGGGAAACCCAACAACCAAACTTAAAAACCCAAACCTTACTATTTAGTTTCACTGTCCTCATCAGAAGTACAGAACATGTAATGCTGTCCACAGCAAATGCTCATTCCACTAAAAGTTTAAGGCTAAGCCTCGGTTTAACTCCAAAGGGGTTTATCTCCTGATTTCTTCCTTTTTTCTTCCCTCCCGCCTCCTCTTTTTTCCTCTCTCCCCTTTAAGGCTATCCTACTACTAACCAAAACTCTGAAATAACACTTTGATTTGCAGGCTCATACATGTTAAACAGTACTCAGTACTTTTGCCACTTTAGCTCTCTTCCCATGAGTCACTGGAGGCCGCCAGAGCTCTAACGTTTGAGCGAAGGGCTTCCTTTCTCCACTTCCCGGTTATCCTTCTGCAGCGCAGCCAAGATCTAGACGTTTCAAGCAATAGGAGAGAAAAAAATTATTAGATTTAAAATGTGACTCAATAGATCATTATCTGAAGAGTTCCCAATTTAATTTCTCTGAGCAATACTATTTTGACTGTTAAGATTTAAACTTGATTTAAATCTTTAAATTTGATTGTTAAGATTTGTTTCCTATTGATAACTGGAGTCTTTGTTCCTAGAAGTCCTGTGTCCATCATTCGCCAGCACTCCTTTCAGTCTTTGGCTTCCTGATCACGATGTCAGGGACCAAGGGAAAACGGAGTGAGATGAAAAACATACACCAGTTTGTCCAGTAAGGGAACCTCCTTCATAAGCAGCCCCTAACATTTGAGATGAGGTCCTATACAGAGCACCTCTAGACAGCATCACGTCAGAACATTACCCACAGGATAAAAGGACCATAATTACCATGGAACAGCAAGGTGAAAGGTTCAGCAAGTTGATTTTTTTCCCAGTGCCACGTACACCTACAGCTGAGATGTACAGCTGAATTTGACTTCTGAATTCTATGGTTAAACATACTCGTACAAAGAAGTATTACCTCAAGCTCTGCTGCTTGTCTACACAGTACAGTTGTTGTAACCAAATGAGATGATGCGAGAACACAAAGCCTGCTTTTCTAAGCTCAAGAGCATTCTGCATCTTCTAGGAACTAGCATGACCAACCTCCTGACACCCTTTATATATTTTTAAACCTTAATGAGGTCACCCCTCAGTCTCCTCTTCTCCAAGGTAAAGAGACCCAGCACCCTCAACCTTTCATCGTAAGAGAGATGCTCCACTCCCTTCATCATACCTGTGGCTCTGTGCTGGACTCTTTCAAGGAGCTGCCTGTCCTTCTTGAACTGAGGGGCCCAGAACTGAACACAGTATTCCAGGTGTGGTCTCACCAAGGCAGAGTAGAGTGGGAGAAGGACCTCTTGACCTACTAATCACACCGCTTCTAATAATATCCCAGGATACCATTGGCTTTCTTGGCCATGAGGGCACATTGCTGGCTCACAGTCATCCTGCTGTCCACCGTGACCCCAGGTGCTTTCCCACATGCTACTCTCTAACAGGTCAGTCCCCAACCTGTACTGGTACGTGGGGTTATTCTTTCACAGATGCAAGACTCTACACTTTCCCTTGTTGTATTTCGTTAGATTTCTCGCTGCCCAACTTTTAGGTATCAAGTTGCAATGCTGCCAGCAGCCTTTATAATTAATACATTTTAAAAGTTCTATACTTCATCGACTCCACGCAACACTTCCATTTTGAGTGTTGGCTGAGCTGTCCCTTTCCAGAGGAGAGTAAGCTCAGGGAATCCTGAACGTATATGCTAAATGCACGGAGTCAGTTAGGCAGTCCTACCTACCTGTAAAGCCAAGCACTAGCTCTGCTGAAATATCTTCCAGCCATTACCAAACCCCATTCCCGTGAGTACACAACAATCACCCACCCGTTGTTAGAGACTAACATGCTCCTTACCTGAGCCCACTTTTTGTTTCTACTTTGCATCTGAATGGCAGCAATAGATGTGAAGAATTCTTCCGAAGGCAAGTCCTCTGGTAGCTTTGTTAAAAACTGGGCTATATGTATGAAGTCCATTTTGGTCAAAATATCTTCAAAAAGTTTTAATATTCCCAGGGCTGTACGGAATAAGAACTCTTCTCCATCACGGCAGAACACATCCCAGACACGACATGCCAAGTCTAGTGGCAAAGACTTGCTGTACAATGTGAATATCCTGAAAAACAGAATAAAATGTTCAGAGTTAATGGACAAGAAAAATGTCTTCGGTAGTTACAAAAGAACCAGACTGATCATAAGCAAGTTTGAGGCTTCTCAAATATTTGTAACTGAATATTCCTGTTTTTATTTCAAGAGTACTTCTATTTGTTGCAGCATAACAATATGTGAAATCGTACAACCATTAAGGCATCTTGTTATCAATCTGGGTCTCCAAGTTCAATCTTCTTGGATCACACCAGACAAACAATATACGTGGCTTTAAGATGGACAATGCACTGGCCACAGGTATAATCGAAGGCTTATTTAATCATCACTTCAGCATGGAGGACTGACACAGTTCTAGCTGTGAGAACACAAAAAACTGAACCGTAAGACATACTGCAAAGGAAATTCTGTGACTCAGATGAAGGAGATGTGCAAAAATAACTCCGTGTTCCAGGCTTGATCGGAAAAGTAGTACTGGCACAAGTACTGGAAAAACAGTAATAGCGCAAGCTTTGGAGGAGAGATCAGTTTAAACTCTAGTTAGTTGAGAGGAACAGGCAACACGTCCAGAGAACGTGTAGACCACTGTTGTAAGATAATGGCTCAGTGTGCACGAGCAGATGTGATCCCCGAAGGGTAACGTCAACAGCAGAAGCAAGAACCTCCACCAAGCTGCTAAAGCTGTACTATAACTAACTGCCAAGAGCTCATGTTCTCCTTCATAGGAATGCTGGCAGCCTTGCAGTCAGGAACACAAAGATGCTCTCTACTCCTTCCTTTATCCAACACTTTGCTCTAAGGCAGAGAAGTTTTCATTGCCACTAACAACATCAGAATAACAAGAGATGAGAATAAAGTTTCCTGGGATCACGTTATGGTATATAAGGGAAGAGAGTTACAGCACTATTATCCTTCAGAATTTAGAGGGAGAACATTTCTCCACAGATGCACTGTGTAAAAGATCTCTGTAAAACTGCAAATAATTATTTTTTCCACCAGAGGTCAGCAAAGCCTCAAATTTAAATAAAATTCCTCCAAGTCTTATAACACCGAATTTCAGGTATGCTGATTCCCCTCTACCTCCTGCCACTTTTTATTTAGGAAATACAGATTTATATTAAGAAACCACAATGGAACAGATAAATAAACATACATACACATTTACAATAGAACATGAATGAATATATTTTTCACAGCAAATCCTCATGATCAAAGGTATTCTGCAGTACACCTGCTTTTTACTTTATAAGATTATTTGAATGATGTGTCATCAAGTATCTGACTTCTCTATTAATCAGTGCACTTTAGAAGAATACTCATTTTACAAGCAGCAACACCAAACCAAACCATTTGCACAAATTCAGGTGACAAGTAAATTGCAGGTTTAGGATACGTCTTTTTTCTATTTTTACATCTTACTGCAATGTTTTTATATCACTTGGAAATAATTTAAATTCTGTTCCCTAAAAAGCTATATTAGAATTCTGTTCTCCAGAAAGCTCAATTAGAAGTATAAAAATAAGCAAAGAAGAGGTAGAGTCTGGGATGAAAACCCCCACTATTGTTCATATACGTATTTTAAAAACACACATTTATGTATAAGAATAGCATGATACAAGCCCCTGCTTTGGGTTACTGGCTGATCATACCTTGCAGACTTTGTATAGTCTTTCAATATTTTTGTACAGTCACATACCATATAAAAGCATCTTGCTATAGAATGCAGCAGAATTCAGACTTTTTGTCTACAGACCCATACACAAAGTGAAGAGTAACAGCTTTTCCATGTAAAAAGAACAATGTAATAGGAAGCAATTCAACCAAGTCCTTTCCTGGTCACCAAGGAGCAGGCAAACGCTCAGCCAAAAGCTAGTCCTGGTTAAAGATCAGCAACAAGGCCAATTTTTTTTTTTATTTGTTTTTATTCACAAAAGCTATTATTCTGTCATTATTCAGGTCTAACCCGAATAACCCACATGTATTACATCTGCAACTATGCAGAAAATGAACTGTCAGAAGAAACAGTCAGAATTATTTATTGGAAGACTACTTTTTGCAAGAAAAATCAAAAAAGCTGTCACATCAAATAAGGCATTCGACATTGGTCTCTTCATAATTTGGAAGAAAGTGCAATTTGCAGGAAATTCTCAAGGTAATTAAATTTCATTAATACTAGCACAGAATGAAATGCATCAAGCCCTAAGAACAGAGAGCGGGCCCCCGGAACAAGCAATGAAGTGTTCATTAGTGCTAAGAATGGATAGAGCATTTTCTCCCTTCCAATGTTTCCTACTGAAAGACATTTTTTTTATTAGAGCTACTGGTCTGAAACCCAGCTGAAATTTATGATAGTAATAAAGCAGCTGCTAGACTAGACTGGCTACAGCAGCAGCTCTCAGCAGCACTAGCACACCACTCACACATCATCTGCTCTCACTGCACTACAGGGATGATTTTCTGCCTGCAGCTTTCAGCTCCCTAGGAGTGCCAGGTGCAGAGAACACAACTGACCAGCGCAGAGATGTCCAGTGTCCGAGCAACAAGCACAGGCTACTGGCCACCATCTGTTTGGGAAAGGGGGAAAAACCCTGAAGTACCAGATGCTGCTGCTCCTCCCAGCCCTGCTTGTGATCAAAGTGTACTTTGAAGCAGATGAGTGAAATCCTGTCTGGTTTGCTGCTCACAGGGAAAGCATATGACCATAAAGTTATCAAGAAAGCAAAGCACTGTTAGCACAATCAGAGGCTCCTGTGTCTCCTTCCCTTTGTTCTTTTCTTTTTCCCCCCTCCTTTCTTTTTTCATTAAAAAGTCTTCATAAGATACTGTTAGCAACAGCGATCAAGACAGGTATGATACATTTTGGATTGACAACTCATGCACAACAATGCTGACATAAATCAGATCTTATATATTCTTGCACTACACATCCTTTTTCCATGTCTGTAACTGCACAAAAATATTTCTGCAACTTCTGAGTGCAGTTGTGGAAACCAATTAACTAATTTGCCTTTTAAATGTATTCTGGGATCCTCCTTCCTTCATCCTGGTACTGATTTTTAACTGTAACATTTGTATCAATTTCAACTGCATCTGCTTTTAGATAAAGCCTGCGCTTTTCTAAATGTCCGTGCATTCCTTTATTGTATAGTGGCATCTGTTCTCATTAACACCTTTAGAGTTATTGCAATAAACTTGTTAGTAACCGTTCAGTACAATTTTAAAATCATTACGAATGAAAAACAAAAAAAGCACGTATTTACTTTGTTCCTTGCTAGGGAAAACTACAGAATACTAACTGCTACAAAGCAACTTCTTAACACTCAGCAAATCTGACTGCATTGTCAAATGTATCAATATAATACAAATACTGTGTTGAGCTTCTGAGCAGTTTCCAACCAGACAGAAGCACCCTAAAAGCCCTGCTCTGTCACCTAGGAGTACTACACAGCAGTGCAGTATTTCACCTGACTCCACCCTAACCCGCAATGATGTAAGGATGAGCACACTGTAAGCTGGGCTGACGATGGACATTTTCAAGTCTGGTAACACCTCCAATTCCAAAAAATCAGGCTAACACCAGAAACCTTTGGACGGAATGACAATCCATTTTTATTTTGAAAGGGAGGTGTGCATTTAAAGCATCGCCTTAAGCTTCATTTTTTTGGGGAGGACAGAGAGTTACCATGACATGGACCATGTTTTTCTTAAATGTAACAGCCAGTAAACTTAGAAATACTTCACTGGAAGTGCCCACCCAAACATCCACTCTAAGTGGCTTGGATCCTCATTGTAACAAGCAAATGGTGTCAATTTAAAAGTTTGTGTTCACAGAGCACACTCATAGTCAATGTAATACTAAAGAGCCACCAATCAATCCATCAGTACAAACAAAGCCCTTGGCTATAATTATTGCCAAAATCATTTTTCTGAGTAGGGATAAAGAGGTGTTTGTATAGCAGCAGCAGGCCATAAATAGACAGCATGTGTCCTTTGCAAATCCACATTCTGCTCTGCTCACAAGAGCCTGGGAACATCAGCTGACAGAGCCGAGAGGCCAAAACTGGGCTATACAGACACGCTGTTTCCCCCCTACTCTCTGTGGACCTGACTACACCTTGCCCTTTACAGCTCTCTCACACTTCATCCTCTTTATATTCTTAAAAAAAAAGTAAAAAGCTGTCTAGCTTTTGAATTCTTTCCATGAAATTCACCAGCTGGAGTGAATGGCTTGAAGCACATGGACCCTTTTTAAAGGAGATGTGTTACTTCTGGCAGGTACCTGCTGATAATCATGTCACCCTGCCTTTTAACTACATTCATAAGTCTTCATCATCTTCCCATCGCTGGAGGCAGTGGTGGAACCAAACTGGCAGGGGAGTTTTCCTCCCGAAATCCTCTCCCAGCCCCAAGGAAACCAGAGGCAGCAGTGCATCACCTGTGCCCACCTAGATGCACAGCATTTCTTTTTCTTGGAACATACCCCTTCCAAAATGATTTAAGCACGCCAGTTTGCCTGGAGCCGGTTACAGGAAGCAGCACAAAAGGCGACCAGTCAGAGGCACTGTCCCCGTGGCAGGAGCAGGAGGGTTTCCCAGCAACTGGTCTGTGAAGCACTGGCTCCTGGGGCCCTCCCGGAGCCGGCCGGGGCTGAGGAGCCGCGCCAGCCCCGCACTTACACAGCAGTAACGTCCTCACAGCATGGCTGTGCCAGAGAGATGGCCACCTACTGCCCAAAGGGCTGTCTGCTCCCAGCAACACTGAACCTATTCTGCTCTGACTTGAAACACTGAAAACACGTTCTTATCTTCCTGGAAAGAGTTCTGTTTTCAGCGGAGCCATATCTGTCCTAGAGCAAATTCACTGTCAGCCACGAGCCACAGGCAATTCTATAGACAACATTTTCCAAAGTCCTTAGCTTTGATGGTTACACTTGTGAGAACGCAGACCCCCCTGATTTTCCTTAGATCTTTTCTATATTACTTCCTGGATATAAGAGAAGGACAGCATATATAAAGTTCAATTTGCTAAATTTCCAGTGGCCATTTAAAATTTGAAAAAAAAGTCAAAATCTGCTTCCTACCAGATCAAAGTACTTTCAAACAGAAAGGGTATATATACATACACATACATGCATATATATATATACACACACTTAGATATACATACACAAATATTTAAATATTACACCAAAATCTTAAATTTACCTTATCTAGTCAAATATTAACTCCATCATCTAACAAAATCGAAGCCAGAGCAGGACAAGCTGTCTAACTCAAGCCAAGTGTGAAGAAAGTTTAATATAGGATTGGGCAGGACTACTCAGAACCATAGAATCACCATGGTTGGAAAGGACCTCCAGGATCATCAAGTCCAACCCTCTTCCCAACATTTCCCTAACAACTAGAACATAGCCTCAAGTGCTACACCCACTCCTGAACACCTCCAGGGATGACTCCACCACCTCCCTGGGCAGCCCACTGCAGTGTCTAACCACTCTCTCAGTGAAGTAATTCTTCCTAATAACCAATCAAAACCTCCCCTGGCGCAACTTCAGGCCATTTTCCCTTGTCCTATCATCAGTAATTTGGGAGAAGAGACCAACACCAACCTCACTACAACCTCCTTTTAGGTACTTGTAGACAGCAATAGCTCCTTCAGCTAGCTTACAGTTCTGTGCAAGGCCAGAGTGCTGTAACACTCCAGGGATGGGAAGGAACACAGTAAATTGTCCTTGGGATTAAAATAAACAGCTTTAATATGGATGCAAGTAGTCAGCAGGACACGTTACGGGTTGAGAAGCACCATCCACAATCACAAGCTTCTTTCAAGTGCTCTTCACACCCAGGGAAGGAATGAACGGGAGGCCGGATGTGTCTCACACTCAGACTTCAACACTTCAGTTCTTCGCTTCTAGGTAATCTTTTTTTTTTTTTTTAGCCTATAAGTGCACTCAAATTGAGCAACTGCTGACATATTCAAGAAAATATGACAAAGACTAGTCCATCAAAGTGAAACTGCTGAGGTGAAAGTAAACAGTCAACTTCTCATCAAAACAGTCTTGTTCTAAATCTCCAAATTCTAGTGTTCCTTGGGGTTTCTTCTGTGCAACATAAAGCTTAGAGTTAGACAGCAGAGTGATAGTAATGTGCCCATGCCATGAAGAGACACGTTTTTAGTCTCTCCTGCATGAAGAAAACACCACCTTATTTGGGACAGCATCATGTTAAACTAGCAATCCACAAAAAAGATGATAACCTGGTGATTTTAATGTTGTCTATCCCATTATTCTCAAGTACATTTCCAGCCTTCCCATTCTGAATATCCCTTTTATTCAATGGCTTCCTCTACACACAAGCTTTTCACAACATTGTCTGAGGCAGTATGATTTCAACACCTTTCCTCTTACCATTGAGTATACCAGCCTCTGCTTCTGCTCTCTTCCTTCCCTTCCACCCTATTCCAGTATTTTTCCTAGCATCTTCCCGCTCTGTGTGCAGATCTAGTTCAGTCTAACATTCTTAGATTTCAGTCATAAAAAAACCCTTCTGATGATATTTCTCCCATCAAATGTTGGAGAAGTGAGCCCACCTATTACACACCCCCACTCTCTTCCTCTGCTCATTAAAATTTAACCCCAGTGTAAAAGCCAAGCCAAAAAAAGCCCATGTTACATTATCCTTTGTGCAAGAGGCATATGAAAATAAAGGAGCTCAAGCAAAGCCAGCAGGACACCCGTATGGATGAACAGGCACCGCCTGTCAAAACTCAGATATGAAAAGGAAGCATATAAGAGGATGAAAGAGGGGCAGATGACCCTAGAAAAATGCAGAGACATTGTCTGAGTATGCAGAAAAGGGGCTAAAAATCCAAAGCCGATCTGGAGTTGAGTCTGGCAATGGATGTTAAGGACAATGAATGGGCTTTCCCTAAAAAAAAAAAACCAGGAAAACAGGAGTCCATTGCTGAACAGGGCAGGGAATCTGCTCACCAAAATACATGCAGAAGGCTGTGGTACTCACTGCCACCTTCAGCTCAGCCTTTACTGAGACGACTTGCCTTCAGGAATCCCAGGTCCTCCAGACCAGTGGGAAAACCCAGTGCAAGGAAGCCCTGCGCTAGGTGGAAGAGGATCACATTAGAGAACACTGAAACAAATTTGAGCATATACAGAAGCGCACGGGACCTGGGACCTGATGAGATACACAAAAATGCTGAGGAAAATGCCTGGTGTCCTTGTGATGCCACTCTCAATTATCTTTGAAAGATCCTAGTGACCAGGGGAGGTTCCTGAGGACTTGAAGAAAACAAACACCACTCCTATATTCGAGGAGGATCCTGGCAACTATAGGCTTGTCAGCCTCACCTCCCTATCTGGCAAAGTAATGGAAGAAAAATTCCTGGAGATCAGTTCAAAACATATGATCGGAAAAAAGGTGACTGGAAGAAATCAGCATGGATTTATGAAAGCAAAATCATGCCTGGCCAGCCAGACAGCCTTCTACAATGAGAGCACTGGCTCAGTGGATGGAGGGAGAGCAATGAGTGTTTATCTCAATGTTGGCAAAGTTTTCAACACGGTATCCCATTAATTCATTGTTCATGAACTGATGAAGTATGGACTAAATATATGGACAGTGAAGCAGACAGAAAACTGGCTGGAAATGCCAAGTTCAGAAAGTTGTCATCAGGGGCATAAAGAACAGCTTCCAGCCAATCCCCTGGTGGAGTACACCAAGGTTTGATACTCATCTAGTATTTCTAAAAGTCTTCGTTAAGGACCTAGATGATGGGTCAGAATGTGCCCTCAGCACGTTTGCAGCTGATACAAAACTGGGAGCAGTGCTTGACACATCACTCTGCACGGACCTCAAGACTGAAGAATTGAGCTAACATGAGTCTCATGAAGTTCAACAAAGGGAAATGTCAAGTCCTGCACATGGCTTGGAAATAAGCCCAGGCACCGGTGCTTACCGGTGCTTGTGGGAAGCCAACACGCTGTAAGGCAGCTTTGCAGGAAAGGATATGGAGGGTCTGGTGGCCAACAAGCTGAATATAAGCCAGCAGCGTACCTCTGCAGCAAAGAACATCCACAAACTCCTGAGCTGCATTAGGAACAGCACTGCCAGCAGACCAAGGCAGGTCATTCATCTCCTCAGCACTGGTGAGTCAGCTCTGGGCTTCCCCGTACAAGAGTGGAACAGACACACGGGAGCAAGTCCAGCTCACCAGGAGTATGATTAAAGGCTTGGAGCATCTGATACACAGGGAGAGGCTGAGAAAGTCAGTGCTATTTACATGGGAGAAGATATGGCTCAGACCTGAATGTGTAAAAATACTTGATAGGAGAGTATAAAGAAGACATATTCTTTAGATATATATGAGACAGATTCTTCTCAGCTCTATCAAGAGAAAGAAGAAGAGTCAATGGGCACATTCTGACATACAAAAGTTTCCATTCTAGCAAAAGAAAATAAAAAACTTGTTCATGGCAACAGTGGTTAAATACGGGAGCAGAGTTGCCTGGAAAGGTTGTAGAGTCTGCATCGTTGGAGACGTTAAAAACCTGATTGGACAAGGTCCTGAGCAACCTGCTCTAGTTGACCCTCCTTTGAGCAGTAGGTTTAGACTAGACAGTCTCCAGCAGTCCCTTCCAACATCCAGCAATTCTATGATCCAAACAATATTCATGTGTTCAAACTTTGAGCTGTTGGATTGGATGACTTTAAATGACTTTCTGTCTAATGGATCAGCAACATGTTCAGTGCTAACAACTAGGTCTTAACAATCAGAGTATTGAGAGTTTGGTTCAGATAGAACTGAATTAACAGTACAAATGTTTTTCAAAATAATAACTTAAGAATCTCAGAAAAAAAAATGCTGTTACTACTGAGAATTTAATCTTTTACTGAAGGTCTTTAGTCAGATATCTGAAAACAGGAGTTGTCATTAACAATTTAAGGGCAAACCTATTTTTCACAAAAATGACTTCATACCATCCTGAAAATGACAAAGTCTTGCTTGCCAAGAAGAGACATTTTAGCTGTCCCAAGGCAAAGTCTGATAGGCACAAAGGCAAACAGTCAATCTGGAGTGCCTTATACTACATTGAAATTTGGCAGGAGTGCAAATAAGATCCTTGTCTTTCTTTCCTCTCTAAGGAAAAAGGTTCTAATTATACTGGAACTAAAAGGGAAGATAGTTTCACCAAATAAAAAGACTGTCTGACAGGTGGAATAGCTGCAGTAATTAAAAACACAGTAGTGCCCTTTGGTTATTCAATTGGACTGTATTGAGAACAGTTTTGAAACTACCTGTACTGGAATCCTCTAAACAGCATCTGGGACCACCAAACTTGAGAGAGGTACTGCCCAAGAGACACAGTTTATCCAGACAAGAGCCTAGGTGTTTGTTTTTCTGGAGCTATACATTTCAAACGCAAGACTAGCAATACTTCATGGGTATGCACCCCTGGTACACACCTGCACAAGCAGTAGAAAAACTAATAAATTTTCTCAGAAGGCAAATCCAAATATGCACTAAACATGGATAAACACAGCTGTGTTTATCAGCTGCAACATTACATCTGCATTTCAAAATAAGCTTCACACTCAATAGAAGTGCAATGGTAACAGGCAAATGTTAAACATCACAGAAGTACGTGGGAACGATTTGGCTTGACACTCAGGTACTGAGCAAAGATAAAGCCTTTCTCTTAAAAGAATACCAAACCAGGTAAAAGCACTCCCACTTCTGTCACGAACACAGACACGCAGCTGTACACTAGTATGGTACAAGAGTAATTACACTTTTGAAGTCTTACCAATCAATAAGATAGATGTCTGGAGTTAATTTATTTTTTTTGAAGTGAGCAAATAACTTGGGCAGATTTTCTTCAAAGAATACTTCAAATGCAGCAAAGTAAGTCAACATCTAGGAAAATACAAACAGGGAGAAAAAAAGTAGTTAGCTACATTATTAATAGGCTTAAACGTATTATCTGTTGTTGGATTAATGCTCTTCAAACATAGGTTCACGTGAATTTCATGATACCATGAAAAGCTAAACACTGACATAAAGAACTGCATCTGCAAGCACAAAGAAGTTAAGATCCCCTCTATATACCATTCTCAGACGATGTAATTACTGCCTTGGGTCTTGGCCAGTTTCCTTTGGAAAGCAAAATACCAGCAGGAGAGAAGTTATTACCTGATTTCTCAACATAGTTATGACAACAGAATGGTGCTTTTTGCTTGTGGCAGTAATTTAATATTATACTGAATAAAATCCAAGGCCCAATGGATTATACAATGAAATACAAAACTAAAATAATTTAATAGTCCACAGCAAGGGTGAAGAGTCCAGCTGGCTCCAGTCATAAATCATATTCTAATACCAATGCTTCTTTTAGACCATACATTTTAAAATTAGGTAACAGGCATTTCTACTGTGAAAAGGGAGAGAAAAAAATTCATACAGAAAAGCCAAAGGTCAGGACAAAGCAGCTATGCAAGAGAAACGGGTTGTAGACGTTACCTAATAAGCCCTGAATTCTGCTGCTTTTAACATGAGGACTTCAATTTTATTTTAAAATTTAAATATTAAGGTCAAATTTTGTAACAGAGGGCATGGAAATATAACCTCTTCCAATCCAACTAAGAGTAAAACCCAGAAGGCTTTTTAGCTTCCACCCTCATCCTCTTAATACCATAGGGAGAAAAGTTAAGTAAAGCCCTTGAATGATTCAGCAATTCTAATTATAATACCTCAATAAAAGCAATAAAGAATAGCTGTGATTTCTTCAAAGCATGAGTTCTATCAGCGTGCTTCTCCCCATAACACCATGCCACCAAAGGGTAAGAAGTGGCCTTTTGGAGCCTTTTGTCTGAAATCCTTTTAAAGGATGATAGATTTGTTTCCCAGTTTTTCCATTTGCCTTACAGAAACGTTTCCTGTTTCACCTGAATGAAGTGACAGATGATGGACTACCCTCGTTAACAGCAGCAAATAAAAAATTGAGCCTGGTAGGCAGTAAGAGTGCGTGTTTTAATAGCCAGTCAGAGATGGGTGTATGCTACAGAAATAACCACACACAGGGGTGTAAAAACTCTGAAGTGTCACCTACTCAGGAACAGCTTCACAGCAAACATGACACCAGAAATCTAGAAGCCTTCTGTAGAGAACTGTGCAGCTCAAACAGCTTCCTAATATGGAGTTTTAAATGCATTAAATCCAAGCATCACAAGATCTGTGAGAATAAAGATGGAAGCCCATAACGCAACAGAGAGCCCTACTTCCAAAATGATCTTTTTACAAGCTAGCATGGCACTAACAGACTTCTACTGAAGTGTTTCAAACGTACTTTAGGGAAGGGATCTTATACATAACTGCTACAATCACATCTATTGATAGTAAAGTAGGCAGCTCCATTATTTCTAGTTTAATGAAACCATAACCAACAAAAGAAGTCAAGATAAATCAGTACAAATTACTATCATTTCCAAAAGTAACTTACACTGTCTTTATTTTTTTCACTTATTATATGTTAAAGCAAATCAGCATTTGGTTATTAAGTTCCAAAACTGATAAAAAAAAAAATGAGAGTAGACAGAATATCAATGTATTAACCACAGGAATCCAAAACTGTCTAACATTGTGTCACTACTGTCTGAAATATTGTGTACAAAGTCTTCCTTGTGGTGTTAATCATGGTTTTGTAATTTCACGACATGTTAATATTATTTCATGTATCACCACCTCTACTCTTCTGTAAGCACTCGTTTATTATGTAGACTCTATTTAGCCAGGCTAACAGAACTAAACAGTATTATCCATGGGTATCCAAAAAATACTACTTCAGCTAAAAAAAAAAAAAAAAACAAAAAAACACAAACCCACAACAATTTATTCTAGCAAGTTTAATTCCAAAATCATCTTCACAAGAACCATATTTCCACACTGAATGCATGAGCATGTGATCTTTTTCTATGTACAGTAATGGAGGTGACTGACACTGCTTCTAACAATGCTGCCTGCACTGCTCCAAATCTCCCTGTGGGCAACGTTTACAACTGATGAGGTTCCGGGGCTGTAACAACGAATTACTTCCGGGAAGAAATAGTGATAGCACCCCTAGTGTCCTACTGTTTAAGCAACAGAAGTGATTGCTGATGCCATCCACTCCCTTGCTTTCTATCTCCCATTTGAACTCTTGAGAAGCAGATCCCATTTTCATTGTGTTAAAAAGTAACTGAGAAAGAAACGCAGAACACCAGATACTTTGTAAAAAATACTTTTTAAGTAAATTAAAAATACATTTCAGGAGATGTGCCCTATTTCACACTGGTACACAAGAGCTCAGTGTACATGCTAACAAGGAATTTCAGAGACTTGAGAGAATCAGGCAGCCAGCTCTCACTGAAAATTGGAAGGGTCTACTCATTGGACTCCCCCAGGCTCCTCTGCAAACAGCTGCTACAGCAAGAGATAGGAAACTTGTTTCTCCCTGCAACAACCTATTTTCAGCACTCTATTAGTCTGGGATAAAAAGTGCATTAAAGACACTTCCAATATCCAAGTGTTTTCAGCTTTCAACTACAGTGCTCAATTTGAAAAACACCTACAATAATATCCTCATAACTATTTTCTGAGCATCCCAAAACAGCAGCTGAACAATTTTGTTCACCTCCCTGTTCAAAATGGTTAGTAGGGTTTTTTTTCGGGTTTGGTTTGGTTTCGTTTTTTAGGTGGTGTGAATGCATGTGTGTGTCTTGGGGTTATTTTTGTTTACCAAATATGTTGCTTTAAAATAAATTCTGACTTTTTTTTCCAAGCTACTGAGCTCTGGTTTTTTTTTTTTTTTTTTTTGTTTGTTTGTTTGTTTGTTTGTTTTTTTTAAACTTTCCATAGATGTATGTACAACACATCAATTACAGGTTCCTTGCATACTTACAAGGCTGTGATCCACACGGAAAAATGCCATCTGACAGGGTCTATTTAAAAGGTTAGAAAAAGCAATGAAGGCATCTGCAGTATCCAAGTTCAAGATCAGTACTGCTGCTATGAATGACATGCCCTGTACCTGAAAAAAAGGAGAAGTGTCACCATTCAGCAATAACTGTATTCTTCCAAGAATACTGCCTCACTTTATCCTTGCAATCACTGCTACTTTTTCACTGGTAGCACTTTTTAACCCATGTGACCCTTTGGTACTGAATGTTCAGAGCATGGAAGCTAATGATCCCCGTGTTGCCTCCTTTGAAACACTAAGTAAAACTCCTAGAACAGGTTAGGACGGCAGCTTTTTCAAATATGCAGAGTAAAGTTTGGGTTGTGGGGTTTTGTTCTGTTTTGTTTTGTTTTAGGAACAAGCTGCTTCTAAGTAATCCCTCTTCTCCTAGGGATGGGTCATACATACCCTTTATTTGTGGAAAGCTGGACTGGGATGCTGGAGACAAAGCCTGCTCCTTCCTTCTTCAGTCCATTACCAGCAACTACAGACAACTACAAACTGCAGTGACTCAGCTGATAAGCAGCAACATTTAACATTAAGCTCTTGTTTAATTTACGAGAAGCTCATGATGATGTGTTTTTCTTTGGAATCAGTGCTGAATCCAGGCAAAGCTTGCTCACCCACACGGTGTAGCACTGACACTGCAGAGTCACGTGGACCAAGCTGTGACAGTTCCTCCAAACCTGAGGAACAAGCTCCTTCCCAGCACAACAACAGGTTCCACGGCACATGAAGCACAGCACCTGACCTGTCCTTTTTCTAGTTTCCCAGCAGTTCCTTCAGCAGCTTTTGTCAAGCATCACATGCTGCACTTGGAACAAGAACATGATCTTTCTCCACTGGCCTTCTCTAGAACAACTGCTCCCAAACAAAGAACAAATCCTGAGGAAAAAGACTAAATCAAGTATCTGAAACCCACTCAGTCTTCTCATAATCACTATTGCAAATACTTTGAAGTAGCTCACATAGCCTCAATGAGCATTTTCTTTAAAGACTGTTTCCAAAAGCTCACAGTGCTAAGGCACAGAAATGGTTATCAAGGAGTAAGACACAACTCAACAGAACAGTCTCAGTAAGACTCTCACTAAGAACAGTATGTACTTGAAAGGACCAATACAACAACATCTTCTGTTTGGACTCCAGTTTTCAAGCACTACAAATACGTACTTTGAGTTTTCCGGTTCCTTAACCTGTTAAAAATATTAAATCTAGCAACAGAACCATTACATACACTTCTCAGGCATGCACTGGAATAGAAGAAAGCACACAGAAACCCCAGAAGTATTCATAAAATCATTCAACACCAGTCTGCAAATGATTAATGAACAAAATCCTTCCTCCCCCTCTCCCCCCCCGCAAAAAAAAAAAAAAACAAAAACCACCACAACTTTCTTACTTACATAGCCTACATCAGGTCTGTAGCAAGTATAGGCTCCTAAAATACTGTGCAACGTATCATGGTAAGGACCACCCTATAATTAAACAAAGCCAAAGACAATACATCTGAGTATTTAACAAAACATGTTAAAAACCCCTTCAGTGCTACAGACAGTATCTATTACTTCTGATGAAGGACACATTTCCCCACGCAACTCTTAAAAGCTCCAACAATTTCACAACAATTTTGGCTTTAAAAGTAAGAAAGAGCCCTCTGTTTCATATTTATTACAAATACATACAGTTCATCCAATACATCAGTTACATATTAAGTCTTTATACAAGAGAAATATAAGCCTAAGAGATTCCCTATAGCTTAGCAGCACTTTGACAATAGTGCCAAGAAAGCAGAAAATAGTTAAACCAACACACCCCCAGCATGGCAAGAATGACACTTATAGCTAAAAAGAATTTCAGATTGTTGACTATTAAGAGCTGCCAAATCTTACACTAAGTACTGTAACTGGCTGAGAATTTCCACAGGGAATTGTTTTTCACCCCAAAATGGTTATTTATCACAATCGAAACTTTTTACAAGGTTGCTGAAATTTGAGTATAGAAGGACAACACAGCAGGTTAAACTGAGCCATTAAAGCACACCAAAAACCATACCAGTTAATTTGGTCTTGTATGGCATCAGAAAAAGCCATCAAATCTTGCTTGAGCTGTCCTCTCTCACTGGCTGTGTATTTGCAACCCAGCAGTGTTGATTCACTGACTTGGAAACACTCACCTGCATCACTTCATCAGAGAGTAATCAGCATGAACTAGGCTCCACAAACCAAGCTGATTACCCAACACACTGGTTTTTTGCCTCTTCCAAATGCATAGTACCTTGAGGTTACTCTTTTCTAGATTATTTACAGTTTTCCAAAATGTGTAGGACCTTTTCCTCTCAAGATGTCTGCTCCTTCAGATTTGAACTCAATGGTATGTATACTTAATTTCTCTGAGAAGTTAAGACAGAAGTTAACATTGCTTACTTGCTGGAATATACAGAGATTAGGAAACGTTCTTGAGATATCCAGTTTTATTAACTCCAAGCTTGCTTCTCTGTCGGCTGCAGAAAATCCAGCATCTACAAAAGCCAAAGTTACTGCATTTATTACATGGATCAGTATACACTTTTTTTCCAGCAAGGGTTAGCTTTTGCACAGTTCATTTATGTAAATGTGAATAAGGGTGTAGATAGGACAACTGCCTGTACTCAGCACATGTGCTGAGAAGCAAGTAGGTTGTGATGGAAGAGAGAAGTCCTAAAGCAGCAGTATTTGATGGATGCCACCTATCCCTAGGACTGTCAGCTTGCCTTCAAAATCATGTTTCTCTCCTCTGTATGTGCTGCTGAAGATCAGACACTGTAATGCACTACCCATAACTGAAATGCATCATGTACACAGTACATTTCTAAAGTCTTGGTTTTCTTTCTCATATTAAAAAAAAAATAATTGTCTGTTGGAAACTACCTATTGCTACTTATTGAGCAAACAAAAAACCAGGAGCTGTCACTAGCCAATGTTTACACTAATCACATGAGCTTCCACACTCCAGAGAATGAACTGCAAGAGGAAGCTGGAAATGTACTAGGTCTCCATTTAAGATGTTGACAATCTTAAGAGAACAAAGTAGGGGATTTCCATCAAAAATATTTTTCGGTTGATAAATGCCAGTATGGATGATCTCCTTTCTCTGCTCAGCATTATTACTTACCAAAGGCAATTTCAAGCATCTGCATGTAGTTTTATACTCTCTCAAAAACAGACAACTCTTCCAACCAATTAGTAAATCTCAAACCATTTGGTCTGCAAAAATAAATTGCTGCTCTCTGAAACATACCCAAGAGACGGGCTCAGAGCTGCAGTAAGGGACTAAAATGCAATTTTCTGCTATAATTTTGAGTTTCAATTCCAAAACTACAGATACAGGGAAGTACTTTAGTGTTGCAATTCAAGTTACAATCACCAAACTTTGTGTTCCTACAAACTGGCATAAAAGCAGAACTGTACCTAAAGACAGTTTACAAGTGAACAAGTGTGTTCTGTAAGAGACTGTAGATTCACTGAAAATCATGACAGAATGGGTTGGGTTGGAAGGGACCTTAAAAATCACCTTGTTCCAACCTCCCTGTCATGGGCAGGGACGTCAGGAAAGAATACAGCTGTTTCGTGCTTCCCCAAGTTCTCTTTTTTACCATACGCATCTTTATAGCCGATTTTTTGTTTGTTTACTTAAAAACTGTGATTTCATTTCAAGGAATAATTTTATAAATACTCTTGTTCTGCAGCACAGCAGAAATCATTCGCAAAAAGCTTACCTTCACATTCTACTTCAGCCCCTCCTGTGCTGAGTGATCGCCACTTCTCTTTGGCACGGGCCAGGCAAATATCATACAGTTCTGGAGAATGAAAAACAGAGAAAACCACGTTCACTATTAGGATATGTTCATGTCCACTTTCAGGTACTACCTACCTACCATGTGAGCAATACTGTCCCAGTCATTACAAGTAACAGCATGTCTAACAAGTTGAACTTCTAAGTAGGTTAATGGTTCTGAAAGACATGGTCCACCGATGTATAACTTAATCTTACATGAAAAGGAAAGGCAATCTAGGCACAAGTTGCATTTTGTGTTCAAGCATTTATTACAGAGCACTGATGTCCAAAATTATAGTCCAACTGGATAATTAGGATAGGAACTTTCTAGCTCCATGTAAGAACTACACTTAAGTCAGTCAAGCACAGAAAAGCAGCAAAATACAGCACAAGTACAGGCAGTCTACTGCATCTCCATGTGGGAGCCAATTACACGTTAGTCTCCGGGTTTGTCTGTACTCTAAAGTAGCACACTTTCTGTTTTCATAAACACACACAGAAACAGAAGTACAAATTTTCCCAAGGGTCTTTTAATCTCTCACAAACCTAGTGTCTTGATGTAAATCAAAGGAAGTACACTATACATGTACTCATAGGCATTACAAAACTAACAATTTCAAGTTTCAAAAAGAAAAAAAAGCTTGAGTCATTAATTCTGCCCATCTCAATCTAACATCAAAGCAAGACACAGTGACAGCAACCATTCACAGCAGCAGTCCTAGAGCAGCCAGAAGCTTAAAAGACAATGTACTTGTGATCAAAACACGTCCAAGGGCTGCCAGAAAAAAAGCATAACTACGTAACACCTCCGCCCACCTCAGGTTCTGACACACCATAATAAACAGATCCCCCTTACTCTTTCTCTCTGTCGGACAATGTAGGTAAACCAACAGTCTCACCATGGGTGATGTTTAACTCGTTGCCAATTGCCAAGCTCCAGACTCTGCCTCTCACGCTCGGTGGGATGCCCTGCCACCACAGCTCTCGAACCTTACGGGAACAGCACCTGTTTAAAGCAAGCACAATATTGTAGGAAATGTTTCACTGCCAGCTGAATTGCAAGTATGTCCTCCTACCAACGTTGAGAGGATCCAAACCATAATGAAAACCAACAGGCCAGGAAGTCAAAGCAATCTGCACATACCCGCTCTTCAGTACTATTTCCCTTTGAACTGTAAAGGACAGCCTGGCTCCTTCCAAGCTAAGGCTTATTTTGATAGAAGCACCGCAACCATAATATACATAATTTGTAACCACATTTGACCAGCAAGAATTGCAGGGGACAGAAATATACAAATGGAAATGAAACCCATATCTATGCCAGTGCCTGTGCTCAAGGCTGCACGTCTCCATGTACCACTACATACAGAACCGAGACTTGGAGAAGTCCACCTTCCTCCCTCTGTCATCACTCTGCTGTGCAAATGAGACACACAGTTCCCCACCCAGCTTTACAGCTCTAATCCTCCAGAAAAATGCACGAAGATGTAACAAGTAATAACTTTTAGGTGGGAGCATGAAAAGACATTTTAACAGAACACAGGCTTTGAAATGCCTGCAGCTGATGTTTGTTAATCCGAGGGCCCAAAAGGAGCACCTAAGCACCAGTGAAAGTTTGTGGTAGTGACCAAAAAAACCTCCTTTGATCCGAAAGCAGATTCTGAACTAAAATGTGCAATAGTGAATATATTGGGGAAGCTTCTAGATTTATGACAGAAATAGAGGAAAAGATGTCCTTATTTATACGCAGCTATAACAGATGCATCTTCAAATACTAAAGACAGACATGTCAATCTACAATCTGCTACACTTAATTTCTTACTTCAGTTCTCCAGAAATTCATTTTCCAACAAATTCTGTCCATATTTTTAACATATGTTCTCAAAACACCTGAATTCCATGATTAAGCAAATTGCAACTGTGAGGGCTGTGGAGGCTGGTTTATGTTGTCGTGGTGTTTACTGGGGAGGCTGGATTTTTTAAGCTAAGTTCATTAAAAACTAGACAGTGAAGGTAGCTTACCAATGCCTGTGTGGTGACTTTGTAGGAAATCTTTTAGCACTCAGTATCTTTTAAAAATAACTTTTTTTCCCTTATTCTCTTCCCCACCACTTGATTATCCCAGCAGGTATACCACTCTGCAATTAAAGAGGCTTCATAACACCATACATGTCCTTCAGTCTACACCTGATGTAACAACATCAGCAGCTCAAGTAGTCACAGAAAGCCTATTTCTGATAACTTCATGATGTTCAAATATTATGTTCTCTGCTGTTATACCCTCTACCACATATCACATCTCAGTGTTCCACAGTTTTTGAATATCCTGAACCTCCATTAAAGACAGTAAGAATCAAAACTACATCACTTCCAGCCACCTTGTAGAAATAACGAAACACATGTTGCTCATTTTTCATTGTAGCTGTCCAAAAGTTACTTTCAAACAAAAGCTTCCAAGACCATTAAAAATTATACTTCCTAACTTTGGAACTTCTGCCTTCAGGATACACTCAGTAATTTTAATTAAAACTCAGTATAACATACTGTCTTACATAGTTTCCCAGTTGGGTAAAATTTCATTGTTCCAAGTTAACACAGCGTTGCCGATGCTGTCTTCCAGTTTACAGCGTTCTTCCAGTTGTTTCTTTCTCTTCTGTGCTTCTTTAAGCTCTACAGAAAAGCAATTTCCTTTTTAGGTTAATAAAATAAGAAACCAATTATTCAGTTAGCCATGTAAAGGCACACTATATTCACCTAAAGGCACAGTGAACTGTTCAAATTCTATAAATTTCCCAGACATACAGCAAGCTACGCAGTGATGTCAAATGTGAATAAAGAAGAAAATGGAACTATGTGTAATGCTTGTTTTCAGTGGGGCAAAGGGAGTTGAATCATACATGGCTCCTTTGCCCCTTCAAATCTAATCATATTAGTAACTTTGGACTAGCATCTCTGACAGCCCCCAGCCTCATCTAGTAGTCCAGGTCAGGTATTTCCTAATAAAGCCCCACTCCTTTCCTTATGGCAGACTCAAAAATACAAGCTAAAATAATAAACATTTTCTATCTTGTTTTCACTCTTATGTGTTGTCTTTGTAAATTATGATTTAGATATATTGTCAGGAAATCATAACAGCCACATTTTCCAGGCTATTTAGTGTATGTATAATCTAGATGACACGCATCACAAATACCTATATACTGGAAATCTTCCATTCATTAAAAATATTTTTCAAGTCTAGTTTAAACATACTTAACATTTTTGCATTATCACTCAGTATTTCTAATCTGCTGGAGATGCAATTTAACCACTGCAGGCAGCACAGTGGAAATAGAGGACACGTGTGCACACACGCACTGTCTACAGCATGGGCAGGTACTGAGCTGGCAAGGAAAACTGAAGAGCAGCAGGACCATGAATAACGTCTTTGGAAGGAACACACTGATAGGTCCTGAGCAGAACCACACCAACTGCCTCATATTTTCAGCTTTGATATGAGCTTTTTGTAAGCCTGCCTAAACACAGGCTTAGAATTTTTCTCTAAACAAAAAGAGGGTGTTTACCTCTCTGACTTCCTGACCTCTACACAATACATCACTCTGCAAAGCCGCTCATGTGGAGCAGCTTCAGGGGCAATAAGATCTGTCAGGGTGCTTGTATAGACAGAATTACATACTCCAGTGAAGACAGCACAAGGACCCAGCCCACTGCCTAACCTAAGCATCATCCCATTTCTCCCAAACCATCCACCTTACATGCAAAGAAGGAACAGAGGACACTCCTTTGGACTACTACACACTGAGGTGCATACATGAACATGGGCGTCACAGGAAGTGAGGACTTCGCTGGTAGGTGTATGATATTAATACAAGTACCCTGTTGTTTTTTGGAACATGTCAACTGCAGCAAGCAAGTCCTGTGTTCCTATCACTTTTCCAGTGTCTCATATGGGTCAGGGCTCTGGCCAGATAGAAACACTTTTTTAAAAAAGTATTTCCAGTAGCTGTCACTGGGCACTATTTTTGCTAGTCCAGGTTTCCTATTATCGCAATGCTTATTTTTAATTAGAAAACCCAGATGGTCAAAAATATCAAGCAGAAGGAAACCACTACTACCATCTCTACCCGATGTGCATGGTACAGTGTTACTAAGACACTTCTGTGAAAAACGTCAGACAAAAAATTAGGAGCAGAACCTTGGGAAAGCTGTCAGTTTTAAGTGGGAGACATTATCAAATGAACATAAACGGTTATGTCCATTTTCCAATGTGGAGAATTACGTATTTATGTAGTACCACCTGAACAGGCTGCTCCCAACACAAAACTACCAACTGGCAAATACCCTGTAGTTATCCACCTAAGTCTAGTCTTCACTAATTTGACTGATAATCTACTTCAATATATTATTAAGTTTTTAAACCCACAAGCAGATACCACTCAATTATTTAAGAGTTACAAATTAAAAAATTCTTTCCTGATGGATTCTAGGATTGTTTCCTTTTTCAGCTCGGGCTAGGGCTTTTTAATGAAACTACCTTCATTGCTCTCTTCTCTGGACCGATTCCTCTGTGAGGAGAGGTACAGACCCCTCACATTATAGAGCAACAGACACAAGTGCATCTCAGGTTTAGAAACAATTCTTAATTTTTGTTCTCTCTTCTGAAGATCTAGAAATTCCATCACCTCTTTTTTTGGCTTGAACCACCATTTCTTCGTACTGTTGTCTGTGTTTCTGAGCTTCTTCTGCTGGTTTTGCAGGGAGGTTCCTTAAATTTTTAAAAATAATAATAATCAGTACTTAAAGTTGAAGAAAACAGTCTGAAGAAAATTCTAGACACTTCTTAAAAAAAGGCATATCCTGCTTCTTGTCAAAATATTTGATCAAAGAGCAGAGCAACAGATCCTTGGAAAGAATGTTTTTTTTTTTCCAGAGTCAGCAAAAGAGAAAGGAAGAACACTGGCCAGCTCTGACTACTTTTGTACACAGAATATGCTGAGTAATTTCCTTACATTTGGTAATTTCAGCATTTTTATTATTAAACCAACTGAACCCACAGGCTGATCTTCATAAATAAAGGGAATATACTGGTATATACCAAGCTAGTAGTTCTCGTTTAGAGTGATCTCTACAGATAAGATAAAAGACCATACTCCTTTACCATGCACCTCATTGACAAGCTACATCCATGATTTCCTTTACCCACACAGCAATGACTCTCTACACCAGATTCCTTTTCCCCTCTCCTCTCTGACACCCCATTTCTACTTTAAAGGCTTAACTCCTCCCCATCACTTCAGCAACAAGTGGCATGGGAGTCATCCTCTAGAATTCTCCAGTTACCAACACAGCCATTTTGATTTGTGATTAAAGCCTGGACTGGAAACCTCTCTGCCACACAAATACACATGCTCGTACGTTAGACCACGCCAACTTCAGGCTAATCATATTTGTAATTAACATAACCACTATGGATCTCATACACCTACAGGATCACCAAAACATCAGAACAGGAAATTATTAAGTATTTTGTTCTTCCACATTGTAGAACACTGTACTGTATTCCTAAGACATTTTAGATCTTGGGTTAATAAAAAAAGTTATGCAAAAACTCACTTTCACATTCCTGTAAGGTGTCACACATAAGGCAGCTACTAGCCACCAACACAGTCACCATTAGTAGTAGTATACTTTACTATTTATGTAATCCTATTAGCTGTAAAGTATACAGAGTCATGTGATACATGCCCACAAATATTTTTAAAAATCAAGATTATTACAAGAAAAGTGCAATTTTCACATTAGTGTTTGTTAACCACAGAGAACAATCCACACTTTTTCCAGTTTAATTTATGTAAGTTGACCAGCATCTTTTTTAAATTCAAGTTTTCTGTAAATTAGGGCAAGTTTGGAAAGGAAAACCAGATGAAACAATATAAGTTCTGCCAACTTAAATTCCACCACTTAAATTACTTGTCCTACCTCTTAACACCACAATACACTTGAGATGACGTTTATTATCTACTAAGATTCAGCTGTAAACATTTACAAAGATTCTTTAGAAAGGGTCACAAGAAAACAGCACTGCTATCCAGAGCAGTTTTCTCTACCAGACAAAAGAAATGATGATTCAATTCTCTACAGTCTTATAAACACCTTAAGTTCCTCAGTCTACCCACAGTAGGAAAGAAAGCAAAATCTGAACATTATCCTGTATGCATCACTATTTCAATCTAATCACTGCAGTTCTCAGACTATCTCATGTGAGGAATTATTTTTAAGACAGGTTTTAAATACAGCAAATAAGCCAGTATATATTGTTTCCAGCAGTACACAATACTGTTACAACAAGTAATCAATCTTTCATTGTTCCAGATGTACCAAAAAGTCTTGTCATATTGTCTACCAGTCAAGCTAAAAAGTGTCTTAAATAACCCTGCAACTAGAATACTTTGACATGGACATTCTTCATACAGATTTGTGGATGAAAACACAGACAGACCTATGTTATGCCAGTTCTTTATACCATTGCACAACTACATTAAAAATGCACAAGACATGCCCATAGAGCTGGGTACCACTCACAAATTAACTAACCATGACTGAACTCATGTAATTCAAAAGCAAACTATAGTAAAGCAACTGCCAATAAATGGTTATAGATTTAGTTTGTGTATGCAAGAATCTCCTTGCAGTAACAGAAGCATGGAACAACTTACTGAGCACTTGACAACCTTTAAAACACAATGCTGAACCAACTGCAGAACCATCATTATCATGTTTCATTATTTATGGAGGTGTGGCCTTCCTCTGTGTAAACAGGATATTGTACCCTTCCTTCCCAGATTCTTTTGCATATACCAGCTTCATTTTTATGCATATGCATATGTTCTCTTGGGGAAAATAAATATTCCTTATTTGTGATTAAAGGGCAGAATTACTCAAAACTAGAGCTCTGCTCTCCTCATTACCTCCTTTCATACAAAGCTACTGCTTGCATTATAAAATAGTTATTTTTGTTTGAATATTTTTTCTCATAATCATCCCACTTTCATATACACTAGCCCGAAAAAAAAAACCAAACTCCTTTAAATTTTAAATCATCTGTTAAAGTTTGTCAAACACATACAGTAAGAAAAGCTTTGCTAGCCTAATTTTAAAGAGGCCCTCACTGTGGTACTTCCCAAAACTTACGCTGGTCTGTCTTCTAAAATAAGTGCTGTAGTGGAGAGTGGCTCAAAATCAAGATTCTTCCTCACATTTTGTTTAGGAGAGAGAGGTCTGTGAGCTCGTCCAGTTTTTTCTTCATATTCCTAGAGAAGAAAAACACATGGCAAGTTACAAGAGTGGAGAACACCACGATGCACACAAAAACTTAAAAGTCTACAGAAGTCTTCAAGACAATGCTTTCACATCTCTGCCAAACTGCAGTCCCTTTAAAGATTTCCCACTAGAAAAACCTCAGAATTGAAAACAATGTTAAAATTTATGTTCAAGAGGGAGTTTTGGTGTTTTTTTTCCAATCCCTCTATTTACAGAAACATCTCAAGTTCCTCTGACTGACAGCCTGATTTTACAACGTAATGCTAAGAATGAGCTTACAAACACTAGATACTATCTGAGGTACAAAGGAAGACCAATTTAAAAATACTTTTGTTTTGATTTACATGGTTTTGAAACTGAAGCCAAAACCAACCACAAGCTCGGATCAAAATTTCATTGTAAGGTTTCTCCTACCCGAGCTATTTTATTTTCAGATGCAATAGGTCGATGGAAAAAAAACCAAAACAGTTAGAGTCATGGTTAGAGAGAAATCCCACATTTGTTCCAGTGCCTTGAAGTTCAACAAACCTAAATAATAATAAAGGACAATGTATTAACTTCTGTTTGTCATACAGACAGACAAGAGCAAGACTAGCAAAGAGGCACCCAAGATAATCAGGGTCTGAAACAAGTGACAGAGAGAGGATGAAGGAACTGGGCTTGTTCAGCTGTCAGAGGAAAAGGCCTTCTAAGGAACTCTGGTAGCTATAGAGAGCGTAACAAGTTAGTGAAGGCTGAGTACAAGTCTCTGTACCCAGGGATCACTAGGAGGGTAAGTCAAACACTGGGTCAAGTTTCCTGAGATGTGGTAGAACCTCTGACCATGAAGGCACTCAAAGCTCAGGTGAATGAGCCCTGGGAATGTGTTCTAAACAGAGTTAGCCCCTCAGAGGTCCTTCCACCCTTAATTACTGTACCACCATGATCTACATTAAAGGATAAGGCACTACATGTACCACACTACTTTTATTTTTCCTGCAACCACTTCTGGAAGAAAACATCCCAAGCCCATGACCTAATGAGATAAAACAACCTTTACACAACTCCCATCTACTCCAAAGCTTAAAGTACTACGACAAACATCAAGTATTCAAAGGATCAGTGACATACACACATCAAACAGTCCTACAGAAAAAACAAATCCATACTACTGACACTCACATTCAACGTCACAATTTTGCCACTTCCAAAACCCACCTGCTTACATGTGGCTTGTTTATGTAATGTCTATTAAAATAAAAGATACTGTGAAAACTTGTAATTATAAATGTGCACTATGAGCAGTATTCAATCCATAGACATTTTCCCATCAGCGCAAACAGCTCCTCAAATGGTACAGACTGCTCTCTCTCAACCTAATCTGTCAGATACATAAAAAATTCCTTTAAGCAATAGATCCAATCTTTCCAACACAAACAGAACAGCCTGGTTCGTTCAGAAACTAAAATGGGATCCTACCACTTCCTGAAAGGTGTTCTCCTCTAACCCCACCTTAAAAAACCAGATGGACTAAAACCATACATGAATGCAGAGCAATACTCGCGTACAACTCAATTCTAGTTCCATCTAGTTCTGTGGGACTCAGGAGTGCAGGTCTGTGAAGCTCTTGGGACACAGAAAAACTCTCTTTCTTTTTTTGTTATCCAGGCACTGTCTCCACAACCCATCCTACGATGCCTGCATCGCTTTGATGGGAAACACTGTCATGAATTTGTAATGTCTGTCTCATTAATACCAGCTAATATTGCCATGTATCCCATCAGTTTGAAAACAAGGAAAAGAACCGAGACGAACGTATTTCAGCTAGTGAAGAGTACTCAGCTTTGTTTAGTAAAGGGATACTGCTCATGCTGACGAAGCTGTTCACTAAAGACCAAAACCTCCAGCGAGAAAATAAGCAAAGAAATAGAGTAAAAAAGGTATTGTGATTGACAGCGTATTCAGAAAGCTACAACATTATTCTTGCATTAGTAACTCCCTGCAAGCAGCCGACAGTGACCAGTGGATGAGTGCACCTTCACAACATGCTTCAGCTGCACCACCAACTGGGGAGCGTGTCCCCCATGCTGACAGGAGTGAAGCCAGCTGCTATTCCTTCTCCCAGTTTCTACAAGGAGACTGATTTTTTAAATAGCTGTTTTTCACAAATTAGTATAGTCAAATATTAACCTCTATTACTGCTTCCACAGACAAGGTGAACCTTGTCCCCAAGTCTAATGTTTTTACTCCTTTGAGATGCTACTAAGAAAAGAAAAACTATCCAGCATCCACAAGAAACTGCCAATATGCAGAAATCATCATCTATCAATCTCCTAGAAGTGCTACAGAGCTTGACATTAAAGCATGTGCACCCAATACCTATTACAGTAGAAATTCCAGAAAAAACGCTTAATTTTTGTTTATGGAAATTATTTGCAGGGCCTTCTCCCACGGAAAGACAACTGCAGAGCAAAATTGCTCTGGGAAGGTGAGAAGAACTGTACACATTGGGCTGGAATAGGGATTTTATCCACACAGTAGGATTAACTTGGACATCTCATTCAGCTAAATTGTCCAGACCAGCACTGCGCATAGCATTCCTCCAAGATTTTCTTGGTTAAGCAACATTTTATTTCGGAATATGGGTTGCTAGTTACAGCACTGGTGGCATATTACTACAATTATTCAAACCTTTTAAAAGAGCAAAAGCCCACCCTGCATTTTGGGAAGTATTTACTGATGTATTCTACTCTGCACTATGCTACAGTAAGGGAGCCAAACCAGCACAAAAATGGGAGTGGCACGCCTTATGGGATTACATGTCCTTTGTAATAATTTCATCATTTCCAGTGGTAGTCAAAAAAAAAAAAAAAAAAAAGACAGTCGTTATCTGCAAGACTGTTTTTTTTTAATTAGGGAAAACAAAAAAAACCCTACCCCACACACCCCAAAAGAAACCAAACAAAACAAAAAACCAGAATGCCCAAAACTCACAGAAGATACAAGGTCATGGAGATGATAGTTTATTCCACTAAGAAGAGGATGCAATTTCAAACAGAGCGCAATGTATGCTACGATAATGAAGCAGACTGAAGCCTCCACAAACTCCTATGAAGAGTATCTGCTGACTGAGCAGGTAGCAGTATTTGCACATGCAGGCATACTGCAATAGGCTGAACCACACAATAGCTCACTTTAAGCTTTTTCTTAGAATAAAAAAAAACCTCTCACAGGTACAAGTAATTTGGCATCTATTTAAATCTTATACTGTATTTAGGGGTTACTAATTCAATACAGTTACAAGTTAATTTTAGGATCGATTTAGGATGAGCTGTGTGCTTACGGTTGAGAATACATTCTTATCACCGTGATCACTCAGGTTTCACCTCAACCTACTCAGCACTCAGCCCCAGCAGCCGAACCAGGGTTTGAACGTGTTCTAAGAGAGCGTGCTGCAGATCAAAGCACCGACTATAAGAACAAACCAAACAAAAGCCCACAGAAACACATCCCCCGCTCTCCGCCGAAGCCAAGTTCAATTCATGGGTGGAACCCGGCAGCTTTGCTGTTGAGATGCAAGGAATTCAAGTCATGGTGATCCTCCACAATTTTGCAAGAAAGAGACGCTAACCTGCAAAGGGAGCCTGAACCAGCTCCGCGGAGAATGGCAAAGAATCCATCAGAGCAAGGGGCGTGTGCCAAGGACGGGAGCGGCTCGTTGGCTTCCCACACGCCCCGAGTCCCCCGGGGCCCCGCAGCGACACGAACCGCTCCATCAAGGTCATCGTGGTTCGGCCCTGCTCCTCCGAAGGTAACCGCTCTCCGAGGACACCGAGTACGAGACGTCCAAGCCAGGTGCCGCAGCGGCTTCGCTCCGCGGCTGCACGGGCCGGAGCCGGCTGCCCGGAGCTGCA